ATCTGAATCGCATCAGTAATCCAACAAGATCATGAAGCATCAAGGGCCATGATAAAGATATTCATTGAGGCTTTTTATTTCGAAGTTTCGTTTTAGCAGATGCGTCATATACTATATGTATATTTGTTGTTGATTTCTGTGGTGTAACAACTGCATGGTGTGGAATGTAATGTATGGATCCGTCTTGAACGTTATTATCGACCTTTTCAATCACGCCCTTATTCAACTGATCTTGGATTACTTCATTATATTTGTTAAGCACATCAGGCTTGTTTTTTCAGTCTTGCCACATTTGATTTTCAGTCTTGACATCATTAGTCCTCGATTTTGTGGTAGATCTGGGCTTTTTTCTTTCCAAGGCCATGTTACTTGGTACATTTTATTTTGATATGTCAAGGTTTCATTAAAGTTTTGTTTAGCTAATTCATCATTATACTCCTTTGCGTTATCTGTGATTCCAATAGTTTCAAGATTCCAGAAGTCATCTAAATCTGGTTTTGTTGGGACAGTTGAGTCCACACTTGTAAACACACTTGTTTTTCTTATTTCTGTACCGTAAGTTAATATAAGCATGTTGATTCACCTTGTATTGTTTGGATCGTCATCATATTTGTCGACACGTTAGAATCAGCCATGTTTTGAGGAAGAGAATACAATTTCTGGTGTATTCCATCTCTGTTTAAGAGTATATATAAAATAATAATCATTTCTATGAAAATCTAACTAGAATATTCTTCCTTGTAGGTATAGTATAGCATTTAACACTCCTTAGGAATGTGAAGACTTCATTGTATGCACTCTCACGTATTTCTCTGATGTTTCCGCTGAATCATGACCAATATTATCCATTATTCAAGTATTCCCCTTGTTAAGTTTCACATTTATCGTGTTGGTATAAGGTTTTTATACCTTCTGTATTTCACTTCGAAAGTTAAAGAGCCTAATTTTTTCTTCCTTTCTCTCTTAGCGCCGAGTTTATTCGCTAACGATTCTGAAATGTATGTTCTCTGTGATCCAGAATCTAAAAGAATACGAACTCGTTCACTTTTGTCACTGGCGGCACTCCTAACTTCCGTTTGGGCTGTTTGCATAAGCACTCTTTCCCCTATTGAAATGGACACATTTTCTTCTGACATCTCACCCTTCGCATGAGGCTGACTATATTTTAGTAAGTAAGTAAGTAAGTAAGTAACAACTTTATTCAATGAGGCTAACACATTCGGTTTCCCGATCTTCCATGCGGGCCTCAGCATATACATAGCATATACATAACAATATATACATTACACATTTTAAATAACATATATACACAAATAGAAAAAAAAACAATAAAAAACAAACCAAAAAAAACAAACAAACAAACAAACATCAAGAAACCACATTTTCATAACCTGGGCATGAAAAATACATTGTTTTACAAGTAAGATGAAAACAAATTTGTAAAAACAAAACATTATACATTCTATTCTTGTGTGGCATTATCATTACAACAAAATGTACACTCATTTAATTAGAAAATTGTATTTTGAATCATGTGTACGTGTCTCTTCTGTTCCAAATTGTGTTGGGACAACACTTTATGATGTACATTTATTTTACGCAGTAAAGCAATTCTTTGTTGCTTTTGCAGTCACTAGAAGCTAATGACACTGCCTCAGATTTGAAACAAATCTTTTAAGTTTTTTTTTTCTATCAACAACTGTAATGGAGGTAGGGACTCGTCACTCAGTGTGATTTATTTACAGTATCGACAAACTTCACATACGTTTCGCACTCCTTTGTATCTCACTTGTTATAAAGCCTGGGCGGAGGCTGCTTTAGACCGAGATAACAGATTTGTCTCCGACTTGCTGCCGTTGGTTGAACAATTTCTTGAGATTTGGACGACTAAAATTACTAGTATGTTGCCGTTTGTCTTTTTGATGTCTGAGACTTTTGTTAGACTTTCAAGTGCGATTACATACGCCATCCAGAGCATCAAGAAGTAGAAACACTGTTCATTTTTTAGTGTTTCTTTTTTTGCATCTTAACTGAAGAGTATTTTCTTTGTGGTTTTTTGAATGTGTCATAGCTAAAATACATCCTTGTTTCACATCTTGGTGAAGGACTTCTAGGCATCTCAGATGTTTTTGTATTTGATCAAAGAATGCTCGTAAACTCTCGTTTTTGGTATTTGGCGGAAATAAATTGATAATTTGTTTTAATGTAGGTCAATTATTTCCTGCAAGTTTCCAAAACGTTCCTTAAGTATTTCAGTATTTCACTCACTGGTGAAACTATAGTGTTTTAATAGCAACACTATAGTTTCCATCCGAGTGAGTGAAATACCTGAAATAGCACGCTTTGCTTCACCGTACACTTTACTTTTCAAGTAGGTAAACTTCTCTACGTTTGATTAATTTTGTATTTTTTATGTACAGTACATTTGAAGGCATCCCAAAACTCTGTCCACTTAAGCTTATCACCATTGTAGGAAATAAGGTCGATTTTTGGAAGCATTAACTGCCAAGTTCATCTCTTCCCTTTTTTCACTCATTTCCAAGAATTTCTGATTTTGCTTCATTTGATTAACAAAATATTTTGCATTTCATGTTGTAAATCCATTAACTCTTTTGCACTAACCTTTCTCCGCTTTTGTTCTTCGTCTTCAGTGACTTTCAAAGCCTTAAGCTTGTCTTTCAGATCGGCAAGGTCAATGCTTAGATCCGTAATCTGTCCGTGAGTAGACTATCCTCTTCGAGAAGGCTAGTCAGTATTTCCTCCTCGGTATCTCCAAGAGGCCACTAGCTAATCTATCCGTCTGAATTTCAACTTTTCACAATATATTTTCATCCGTTCTATGCACTTATCCGTTTTTGAATCAAAAACCTTTGTCTGCGAAATCCAAGTTTCATTTAGAATCACATCTGGCTATATCCACTTCTTTACTCGAGATATTATAGAACCAAGTCCTAACACCTTTTAGATATGGTATATTTGCCATTTTTTAATTGCAACACGTGTAAGCACTTCCTTTTCCCGATTTCCATTCCCGGGTTCCGGCGCCAATTTATGTGGGAGAGATTTTATACCACATAAAAAAAAAAACGAAATCAAATTCAATTTTACTTTCCTTTATTTTAGAAACATTAACATTGAAACTTTTTAGTATTTCACTTTAACTTTAACGTAATGTCTATATTTTTCCACTAGAATGCACTAACCCAATATAAATTCGTCCTCACTTATTTATAGTCAGAAAAGCATGGAAAAAAACATAAAACATCATGAAAATCAAGAAAGTCATTAATTATCCAGGCGGCAACACTCGTCAGCTCGACGGATCTCGTCTGCCCGACGGATACAATGTTCAAGGCCAATGCACTATGTTGAGGTATATATCATACAATCGCGTACTTCGCGACACTTACAGGTCAAAAGTTAACATAGTCTGTTTTAGGGTATATTTTGTGTCTGATCTAGAGCTTCTTCAGGATTTTGAAATAACTAGGCACAAAAGTCACAATGATAAGATGATATGTCATGCATAACACATGTGTCCCTACCTCCAAGGTCAAGGTCACACATAAAGGTCAAAGATTTTACAAAGTCTGTTATAGGGTATATTTTGTGTCCAGTCCATAACCTGGGATTTTAAGAATACTTTGCAATAATAATCACAATAATAAGATGATATGTCAGTCGCAAAACATGGGTCCCTACCTCCAATATTTTGTGTCTGATATATAACTTCTACATAGTTAAAAGGATTTTGAAAATACTTGGCACAAATAGTAATATTAATAAGACGATATGTCATGCACAACACCTGCACCCCTACCTCCAAGGTCAAGGTCACACTAAGAGGTCAAAGGTTAACATGATAGAATTTTAAATTCGTGTTTCATTTTACTAGTATTTCTTTAATAAATTTAGTGTTGCATTTGCAGATCTAGCATTGATCATACATTTGGACTGAAAGTCCTGAAATCCATACCTCAATCTTTTGAAATAGCACAATTTTATGCTTCATATAAAACTTCTCGAGGCGAGGGACGTTGGTAACTCTGTTACAAATTCTTGTTTAAGTTTTTAACTCGCATTATAATGTATTTATACAGAAAAAAAGATGCTGGGACTTTTAATCACTTTTAAAAACTTCATTTTAGCGTAAGTTAAGTAAATATGGTAAATTTCATATTTTGTCATATATTTTCCTGAGTATCCCTTTAAGGTACATGTATTTACTTCAAACTTCAAATATATGTTTCTTATTATTAACCACATCATATGTGACAAGGTTAATAACTCAAGCACAAAAATTATCAGAATTACCCCCTTTGAACTTAGAGTATTCATAAAAAAGATGATGTAACTTAGAGTATTCATGAAAAAAGATGATGTCTTTTTATAACGTCTTTATTTCTTAATGTTTCTACTTCAAACCTCATATATATGTGTCTTATTATCGACAAGACCTTCAACAAGACCAGACTATACTTTATATTGACTCATAAATAACCTGACCTTGAACGTTAGATATGTAACGTTTACTTTATTTTTGCAGTAACTAACTAAAGCTTTGTTACTTGTGAATGGATTGTCTTCATACATGGACACAACATTCTTAAGGACCTTAAGGACAAGCCACTTACTTCTGAATTTGACCTTGACTAATGAGAGACCTTTTGACTTTGAAGGAATTACTTCAAACTTTGCTCAAATTTTCACTTATGTTGTGGCTGTGCAAGCTAAATGTCAAGGTATCCATTGAAGGTCAAATATCAAGACAATATTGTGTCCACCTATATCTAAACTAGATGGTATTTAAAAAAGATTTTAAATAAGAAACATAAAATATCACAATTACACCACTAGATATGTAGCTTTATTTGATTATCCTGTTGCAAAGGGCCATAATAAGTACTGAGCAAACATTGTTAAATTAGTAAAAGCAATTAATTGATGGAAAGATCTTGTTTATGACAATAGGTTATGATAAATATTAAAATCATTTTCAGCCGGATCTGGATATGAACTTGATGAATGTGCCCAGCAGTACATTAGAGCAATAATAGTTTCTAGCCAGAAGTTGAAGAGTGTGATGGAAGTCCATTTTGTGGATAAAGTCACAGTTGGAGAAGTATGCAAAGTATTTAATGGCTTCTTTAATATGCTCAAAGATAATGATAACTATCTTTTAGCATTTGGAAAAAACAACAAATGTACATTGGTGAACACAGCTATTAAATTATGCAGCGGAGATATCCAGCTTTCTTTATCTCATGGCATTGCGATTTTTGTGGACAAGCATGCGCAGCTACCTGGAAACAATAGATTACTACAGAACTTACAGGAAATGGAAAAAACTGATTTTCAAAAGATGATGAAGCGAGTAAGAGAAAATGATGAAATATGTATTGTCCAATCAAACTGTAGAATGATGTATGATGTACTTTTAGCAGCATGTCCAGATATGAAAGATGAGAAAAGTGAAAATGATCTGTATGAAACAGTTACAAAAATTCTGAAAAAGGCATCAGAAAGGGGATTTATTAGTTTTGCAATTGCATTACCTGAAACAAACAGAGGTAAGTATTTTCAAATTTATTTAAGAAAATGTATGCGATTAAAAATCTATCAACCTTTTGTGTGCGTGTGGCCTCTACCAGAGTGGCAACATATAGGGATCGCTTTTGTGTTGTCTGTCTGTCTGTCAATCTGACCGTACAAACACAGAGGTACTTTAATGACATGGAGAACAGTAGGTAAAGGTACATTTTCTTTTATCCTATTCATTCTGTTTTTACTTGTGTGACTTTTTTGGCCTTGTGTGACTAAAAATGACTTAAAAGATCAAAGAAATTTTACTTACACAAGTACCATTTCGTAAGTACTACCTAATAGGGTGAGAGGGCAATCTAATTTGTAAACACAACGAAAGAGAACAATACAGTTCATTCCGTAACAATAGAGGAAGGAGCCAATGGCCCTCTATTAAACAAAAGAAAGTAACAGTAGAAATGGCTCTTTATCGCAATTTGGTCACAAGGACATCTGTCCAGACAACTCCTGAAGAACTACTAGTTCAATTTTATCCAAATGTTACAGGGATGACCAAGTCTAGTTGTGCATATCATTGGCATTGTCTTGTTCAATGATTTTTGTGCCCCCACTTTAGGGGGGAGCATTTAGATTAACCCCTCAATTATGTCTGTCCGCCCTTCAGCCCCTCCGTCTGTTCTCTTTTGTGACCCACGTAACTAAAAAAATATTTGACCTAGAGTCATGAAACTTAAAAGGAATGTTGATCAGCATGTGCAGTTGTGCACCTGGGTATTTTTGTCTGGATTTATTCAGTATTTTTAGAGTTACTGCCCTTGACTTAGTAAAAACTTGCAATTTTCATCTTGTGTCGCATGTAACTAAAAAAGGATTTGACCTAGAGTCATGAAACTTTACAAGAATGTTGATCAGCATGTGTAGTTTTGCACCTTGGTATGGACTTATATAGTATTTTTAGAGTTATTGCACTTGACTAAGTAAAATTTTGCAATTTTTAACTTGTTTCACATGTAACTCAAAAAGGATTTGACATAGAGTCATGAAACTTAACAGGAATGTTGATCAGCATGTGAAGTTGTGCACCTGGGTATTTTCATGTGGATTTATTCAGTATTTTTAGAGTTATTGCCCTTGATTAAATTTTTTTTTGCAATTTTTAACTTGTTTCTCATGTAACTCAAAAAGGATTTAACATAGAGTCATGGAACCTTAAGGGAATGTTGCTCAGCATATGTTGTTGTGCACTTTGGGTTTGGCTTGTGAATTTAACCAGTATTTGTAGAGTTATTTCCCTTGACTAAGTAAAAACCGTTTCATTATGTTGTGTATTTGTTCCTTGAGTGCTTAAGTTAGAATCAACCAAATTTACAGGAATAATGATCAACATCACTAAATTACTGGACCAATGATCAACATCACTGTGAAGCTATGCACCTGGGACTTTGCATGTGGATTTTCTTTTGTTTTGTTAGAGTTATTGCTCTTGACTTACAGTAGTATAAATTTCCATTTTTCAACTTGTTCATGCATAGCTCAAAAAGTATTTGCTTTGTAGGCCTGAAAGTTTACAAGAATGTTGGTCAGCATGTGTACTTATGCACCTTGGGGTTTGCTTGTGGATTTATTAAGTATTTGTAAAGTTCTTGCTCTTTACTTAGTAAAAGATTTTTAGATTTCAACTTGTGGCACATGTAGTCCAAAAAATATTTGACCTAGAGTCATATACTCATAACATTGACAGAACAGTGGCGTTTGGGGGCACACGTGTCCTATGGACACATTTCTAGTTGTTAGAGTTATGTCCCTTTAATGATATTTATTCCTGAGTTTTTGTCTGGACTACTTCTCTTATACCACTGAAGCAATTTCAGTGAAACTTTACAAGATTGATCTGTAGCTCATGTTTGTTTTGATGATTTCTAGGTCAAGTTTGAATATGGGTCATCTGGGTTTAAAAACTAGGTCACACCGCCCAAACATGGAAAACCTCACTTTTTGACTCAGTTATCATCAAATTTGATCAGGATGCTTCTCTAGATAATTGCTCGGACGAGTTTGAATATGGGTCATCTTGGAGTAAAAACTAGGTCACAGGAGCTAATATAAAGAAATCTTGTTAACACTCTAGTAGCTACTGTTTTGATCCAAGTATCCTGGAAATTGTCTGAAATTTTGTTTAGATGATTTCTAGGTCAAGTTCGAATATGGGTCACCTGGGGTTAAAAACTAGGTCACACTGCTTAAATATGAATAATCCTTGTTAACACTCTAGTGGTCACATTTTTGACTCACCTGTCTTGAAACTTGGTCAGATTATGCTTGTCTAGGTAATTGTAGATAGATTTCCTTCAGGAGTAGCCTATGTTTGCCTCATTTTGAACTTTGTCCAGGACATATAAAACTTTGAAACTACAAAAGGTACATTTTTCTGTGTCCAAAACCTATTTAGGGAGCATCTTCTGGTTCAACCGGCTCTTGTTGTCAGAATTATGGCCCTTTCATGATTTTAATTTTCAAAACTTGTCTGGACTACACCTCTTAAACCACTTATGCAATTTTGGTGAATCTTTACAGCATTAATCTGGAGCTCAAGTACTTGTGCATATTACATGGATTAAGGATATTTATACCCCCACCACAAAATGTGGGTGGGGCTATAATGGATTCCCTTTGCCGCGTCGGTCGGTCGGTCCGTCGGTCGGTCGGTCGGTCCGTCCGTCCGTCTCCACTTTCGTGTCCGCTCTATAACTCCTATACCAATTGAAGGATTTTCTTCAAACTTGGCTCAAATGTTCACCTCAACAAGGGGATGTGCAGAACCCATATTGCCCATGTGTCAGTTCAAGGTCCAAGGTCACAATTGAAGGTCAAATATCAAACACTATCAAATATTACACAGTATGTCATGTCCGCTCTGTAAGTCCTACACTACTTGAAAGATTTTCTTCAAACTTGGCTTAAATGTTCACCTCAACCAGGGGATGTGCAGAACCCCATGTCACCCATGTGTCAGCTCAAGGTCAAGGTCACAATTGAAGGTCAAATATCAAACAATTAAATATTACACAGTATGTGGTGTCCCGCTCTGTAAGTCCTACACTACTTGAAAGATTTTTTCAAAATTGGCTCCAAATGTTTACCTCAACCAAGGGAGATGTGCAGAAACCATGTTGCCCATTGTGCCAGCTCAAAGGTCAAGGTCACAAGGTAAATATCAAAACACTATCAATATTACACAGTATGTTGTGTCCGCTCTGTAAGTCCTACACTACTTGAAAGATTTTCTTCAACTTGGCTCAAAAATGTTCACCTCAACAAGGGGATGTGCAGAACCCATGTCGCCCATGTGTCAGCTCAAGGTCAAGGTCACATTGAAGGTCAAATATCAAAACAATTAAATATTACATCAGTATGTCGTGTCCGCTCTGTAAGTCCTACACTTCTTGAAAGATTTTCTTCAAACTTGGCTCAAATGTTCACCTCAAACAAGGGGATGTGCAGAACCCATGTTGCCTTATGTGCCAGCTCAAGGTCAAGGTCACAATTGAAGTCAAATATCAAAAATCAAATATTACACAGTATATTGTGTCACTCTGTAAGACCTACACTAATTGAAAGATTTTCTTCCAACTTGGCTCAAAATTCACCTCAACAAGAGGATGTGCAGAATCCATGTTGCCCATGTGTCAGCTCATGGTCAAGGTCACAATTGAAGGTCAAATATCAAAACAATCTAATATTACACAGTATGTATGTCCGCTCTGTTACAAAAAGTCCTACATTAATTGAAAGATTTTCTTCAATCTTGGCTCAAATGTTCATCTCAACCAAGGGATGTGCAGAACTTATGTCACTCTTTTGCTGGCTTAAGGTCAAGGTCACACTTTAAGGTTTAAAAATTGACTTAGAAAATATTCTTAAATTTTAACATTTATTTAATATTTCTAAATCTAGAAAAGGTATTTGCTTGAAACTTAAAATATTTTTGAAGGGTCACAATTCCATATGCTGTTCGTTCAAGTTTATAACTCTGTATTGCATTTTACCAAAGTTATGCCCTTTTTAAGTCTTCAAATTTACATACAATCAAATATTAGACAAATATGTTGTGTCCGCTCTATAAATCCTATACTAATGGAAGAATTTTCTTCAAACTTTTACTCAAATTTTCACCTCAACAAGGTTATGTGCAGAATCCATGTCACTTTTGTGCCGGCTAAATATCAAGGTCACACTTGAAAGTCAAAAATTGACTTAGAAAATGTTCTTAAATTTAACATGTACTTGAAATAATTCTGAAAACTAGCGCAGGCATTTGCTTGAAACTTAAAAGATATATGAGGTGTGGCAAATAAGATATGCAGGTCAAGTTTCATTATTCTGTATTGCATTTTGACAAAGTTATGCCCCTTTTTAAGTCTTCAAATTTACATACAACCAATACTAGACAATATATTGTGTCTACTCTATAAATTCTATACTAATGGAAGGATTTTCTTCAAACTTTGTCTTTACTCAAATGTTCAACCAAACTGGGTGATGTGCAAAACCCATCTTACCCTTGTGCCAGATTAAGGTCAAGGCCACACTTGAAGGTCAAAAATTGACTTATAAATAAAATGTTTAATACATTGGGAAAATGAAAGGTTATTTGTAACTGTTTCGAACATGATTTGATAATATATATTTATACTATTACCTGTACAATTGGTCTTTTTTTCACCAGAGATAATTTCTTTTTATGTATTTGTGCCACATAAGTTATTCCCTTAACCACCTTTCCAAGTGGTCTTCTGTCAAGGACATTGGTGGGGGTATGAATCGCATTCAGCGATAGTTCTAGTTAAGTATGGCCCTTGAATAAAAAATTTGTGCCCTGTTAATGATTTTTGTGTCTCCTGTTTCATTAACTGCAATTTAACACACAGTTGGCTATCATGAGGCGACACATGTCATTACTGATAGCCAATGTTTAGATAAGGATATAATTATGTTTTGAATACTGTTGTCTTATTCCCTCTATTTT